GTGTGGGCCACATGGGAACACGAGGTATTGGAGATTTCCAAAACACCCAGACAGAAGGGACCAAACGGTAGACAGGACTTCTACAGCTGGTTCCCACAAGGTGACGAATGCAGTCTGACCGCATTAATATCCCCAACCTGGATGCATCCGACTGCAATTACGCCCATAAACAAGTGAAAATGTCCTAGGGCGAGTATGCCGCAGAAGAGTTCGCTGAACTGAACTGAATTTACTTAAACCACCAGTACGCCTGAGCCTCCTTTTGCCAGGGCGGGTTCCCCCGGCGTGCCAAGCTTTGCTGAAATGCCAGCCCACCATCCCCCCGCCCCCCTCCCTCGACAAGTCCAGATCGTAGTAGAGGCATTTTATTTTCCTACTTAAAAAAAAAAGGAAAGTCCCTCACATATCAGTCCGCACAACTCCGCAGCCAAATGAGGTGAGCGAGGCATCTGGCCCGGCAGAACTCCGGCTGTGGTGTACCAAGGCAAACAAATTTCAGACGCCTAAGTCTGCACACCGGTGCTCTTATCAGCACCCCTAGCATTCACTCGAGCTGTTTCTTAAAAAAAAAAAAAAAAAAAAAAGAGAAACAATGAATTTGTAGTAGCTATCTCTCGTAAGCGCCCCTGTGCAAGGATGACACGCATAAATCGAGAAATGGTTAAGGGGAAAAAAACAAAACAAAAAAAAAAACCGTCCGCAGACAAGTCCATAAAAGTTCGATAAAACTACTTTTTTCTTTTGGTCGGCGCCGTCGGCCATTTGGTCTGGAAGCACCATCCATCGAAACTTTTCGAAATGATTCATTTTTGCTCCTCAAGTTTGCCTGGGCGGTGTACTTGTGGTTTAAAGCACCAGATAACCTCGGTACAGGAGTTCTTCCCTGCCCATTTTCAGTTCTCCTTTTTTTTTTTTTTTTTGACCATTTCTCAATTCATGCGTGTCTAATCTTCTCCTCTCCGAATCATTCCTATTTTAACGGATGTCCCGAAGTGCAGGGATCCGATCGATGGCCACAGTTTTTCTTCCCCGTCCGCAGGGGTTGGCTGGATTCAGGACGCAGTGGTGGTTTAACTCCCGCAACTCCTTCCAAGGAGGATATGGTTGGGGGGAGGGGGGAGGGAGGAGGGAGGAGGGAGGAGGTGGGAGGTGGGAGGGAATGAATGGAAGCAGTCTGAGCAGGACGGATAAATCGGAGAAAAGACGATAATACATTATTCACTTCTCACGCAGCGATGGAAGTTACTTTCCGTTTTGGTACTGGTATCCGATGTGGAAAGAATAGCCGTTCTTTCCTCTTTCGGATACCCACTTTTGAACTTCACAGCAGGTGCCTTCATTCTCATTCAGAATTACTTTCTGAATTAGTATGTGCCCACCAGCACCCTCCCCAACTATCCTCTTTTCTTTTTTCCTTTTTTTTTTATTCTTTTTCTTTTTTGTTGAAAATCCGGCGTTGTTCTGATAGGAG